TTTTTTTTTTTTTTTTTTTTTTTTAGTATTTTATATGTGGAAACTCTGCCCTTAATTTCCATAATTTTATTTTTTTGAGTGCACTTGCTAGCACATTTGGTTATTGGTAGGAATTAACCAATATAATAGCTAGTGTGTAAGGAATAAAACACTTGGAGGAATGCTGTTAAAGGAAAATAATCAATTACAAAGTGGTGCAATGCGGCCCAACAGGAAACAGAGTTACTGTTACCACCCTGAAATGGATTATTTTCCTATAACAGTAGAAACAATACAAACAGTATAAAATCTACTTAAAACACTAGCTTGGTTTTAATGACACAATATAATAATTAGCTTCAATTGGCTAGTATGTTAATGAGCTAGTGGCTAGCTAGTGCTTTGTTCAGGTAGCTGGCTTACTCATCTAATGTTGCTTAATCAGGACAACTTTTCATTTAATTCTTTTCTTTTACTCCTTTTTTTGGTGTGTAAGTTGTGCTGTGTGGCAAATAGACACTCTGCTCAGTAAAAAGTGTTTGACTAATGCTTGTTATTTCAAGCTGGTCTGCATTTCACCAGACAAAAAAAATCTTTATGTATCGTTAACATCTCAGTAAAATTTGCGAGCTGGGATTTTTATTTATGTAATAGATTTTATGAGACATCAGGTCAAGCACTTTTCCCTGAGATGGAGAATTTGAGGGATTAAGAAACACTCAGACATTCTTTACGAGCCTTTAAATCTCAAAGCCGCTGCACAGCAAATGGATTTTTAATTGTCTGATAATGAGGTTATTGAGATTGTATTATCACACTATGGATAATGTATCGTTAGTATTTGAATAGGTTTGGCCTAATGAGGTCAGCGGGGATGAGAGATAAATGATAATAGGTTTGTTATCAAACAGCCTGTTTTGGATATTAAGGTATGAAGTACAGCTCAGTTTGTTACTGATATTCAATAAAGAATGTCTTTTAGTGTTCCCAAGCTATTTCTGGTCAAGTTTAGCTCATTTAAAGAGGAGCTACCAGGCAGAAATGAGAATAATAAAAGACGCAGTTAGTATGTAAATTAGGCCAAATTAACTTCAGCTCTGAATGAGCAGTGTAATTTATTCAGCCTCTCATAAATTCAAATTCAGATTTTACCATAATTTCAATTTACCATCAAAATGATTTACATGGTTAGCTTTTTAGCTTTCAGAATACTGTAAAAAAATTAACACAGCTCCCTTTTTTTCTCATCCTCTTTGGCATAATTTTCAGTAGCACTTTATATTGCAGTACAGTAACTACCTATTATATCACACCACTGATGAATTCTCAAATCTGATTGGTCAGAAGGTGATGAATTTTCTATAACAGCAGCTCTGACAGTAGTTCTGGCTAGAGACAAAAACAGAGGCACCAAGTTTTACTGGTGCAAATATTCTTCACCACGCGTAGGTGCGCGCACACACCTGCTATGCGAGCCTCATTATTCAGATACTCACTTGCTTATCTTATGAATATCTGGAGGATTATAACTGACGTCTACTAAATGTCACATCAGAAACAAAACATCTGCGTCCATTTAGTTTCCAAGTTGAACTGTAATGTTTAGCGATTTCATGCACAACGACGTTAAACAGACGGATGAGCTCGGTTTCTTTTTAAAACTTTCTGCTGTCATTGTGATTGTTGTCATCATCTGCGTCTCGAATCAAAAACTCTCAGCATACATTCAAAAGAATTTACTAATCTAGAAAATCCAGAAGACTGGTCCTTAAAACAGACCTTTCAGTAGGATTAAGAGGTTTTTAAAATTCAAGCACTAACTGTAATAGGAAAACTGTTAGTATTATTTCTCAGGAACAGTCCAGAATAGTACAGTATTTATGTTGGTATTGCATTACACGGACGCACAAGTGACACGCCAAACAACCTCAGGATACACATGAGGCAGCCATCTTGCATACGTTCAGTTAACAGCAAGTATCCTTTAGTACTACATTATTGGCTGTTAAATTTTGAGTAAATATTGTATTGAAGTTCTGCTGTGCAAACCTGGAAAGTTCCAATATGCGAATTATGTACCAGAAATTATCATGTAGGGGGGCACGGTGGGTTAGTGATTAGCATGTTTGCCTCATACCTCCAGAGTTGGGGATTCGATTCCCTCCTCTGCCCTGTGTGTGTGGAGTTTGCATGTCCTCCCTGTGCTTCGGAGGTTTTCAACCAGTCCAAAGACAGGTTGATTGGCTTCTCTAAATTGTCTATGGTGAGTGAATGGGGGTGTATGTGTGATTGTGCCCTGCAATGGGTTGGCACCCTGTCCCAGGTGGCCCCCCATCCCGTTCCCCGGGGCCCTGGGATAGCCTCCAGGCTCCCTGCAGCCCTGTGTAGGATAACTGATACAGAAAATGGATGGATGGAAATTACCACATACTTACCTGATAAATACTAGGTATGTACTGTGCTGTAAAATAAAGTGCTAGCCAATTTTCTCTTTCATCTGGGCAAAGTTGTTTTTCATAAAGAAGTTGGTGCAGTGTGTTTCCTCTTGATAGCTGAGTGACCAGACTTCTGGAAAATTCTGCTTTCTTCTTTCAGGTGCATTCCCCAGAGGATCTAAATCTAAACAATTACATGCGCCGAATCCCTCTGCTTTCTTAGATAAGTGCCTTGAGCATGTCATTGTACTTTGAACGGAAAGTGATAAAACGTGTTTCTTCAAGAATCCTCCATACTTTTGGTTGCTGCAGATATTTCTTTATGGGCTGTAAGCGAAAACAGAGGCATGTTCTTTGATTTATATCTGATGGATGTAGATTTTCTTGTTTATCACCAGCACTTGAAACACTACAGTATATCGTTAAAGATTCAACTGCGACTTTTCTGTCTTACTACAAAGGTAGTTCCAAGATCAGCCAAGATATGTTTGCTGTTTGAAGTCAGATTCTTTAGTAAGTAAAGGAAGCTTATCGCTACCATCATACTACATACTACACTGACTTTGCCTATCTCTATCTCTTTGTCTCTTTCAGACATTGCATGACACAATACTGTGTGTAAAAAGGGCAAAGGACTCCACAGAGCTAAAAACAGTATATCAGCCTTTTTAAAGCTGAATCTCTTTTTTCCTGAGTGTACAGTTTGGTATCATAGCAGGTATAAGACTCTATAACTATAAGGTAGGAGGTGTGGCGCAAAGTTTGATGTTGTTAGGATCAAATGTAGCTCCAATTTCATTTGCAGATTTTTAAAACACAGACTAATTTGGCTATTGTATGAAACTGTTGATGTATAAATGATGTTACTGAACCAAAGTCTTTTCAGAGTGTGATATGTTTCAGATATGTAGTTTCTATGATGCTAAACTAATAGCTATGACTATTTCTTTTAATATGAAAGGGTTACATAGACTAATCCACTAATATATTCACTTGTCACTGCTGTGCGGAGCTGCTGACTAGTCAGGAAAGTGGGAAAAACAGCGAGGCAGTGAGATGATAAAGATGGCAGCTAGTTTGAAAATATTTTAGATGATATGAAGCCAATTCTATAGTCAACTGTACAAGACTATACTGGGAAAAGTCTTTTTTTCCACTTTCACTTTAACAGAACATTACCACTTTGATATCATTTTGTATAAAGTGTATAAGAAGACAAATCCTGCCCACTCCCACACTTATTTTTGTTGTGCTTTAAAGCTAAATAAAATTTAAATAAGATTCTTGCACTACGGCAGAGTAAATTCCAGTATGAGCAGCACTAGCTAATTAGATTCAGAGTCAACTCAGCTAGTTTACAGGTAGAGGATGGGAAAAATCTCCAATATGCTGCTGTAGACATAGAATCCTCCGTCCAAGGAAAGCCAGGCATTTAGCTATAATGAGATCAAGCTCATCTCATATCTCTCTGTTGCCAGACATTAGCTTCCATGCTGTGCACGGTGAGTTTCAAAATCAACAATTTCAGCTGAGCCTCAGCTCATCAGTGAGCGTGCATTTAAAAATGGGTACAACCTTAAATAGTGTACACATATTTATTATATTTGTGCCAACAATATCGCCTTAAAAGCATTCAAGCTGGAAATATAATCTGTAGTCTGGGGAAGGAAATAAAGGAACTTCTTGTTTTTCAGCATTAATCACACTAATAAATTAATAATAATAATAATAATAATAATAATAATAATAATAATAATAATAATAATAATAATAAACAGTGATGTCCTTAATCAGTTTTTGCTTAAATTATGGAAAAATGACTAGTGGACTAATTCTTTGAACTACTGGTTAACTAGTAAAAATTAATAGTGGTTCATCCCGTATCATGTATAGCAACTTTATCCTCACAGCTCCAATGCAAATCTAAAGAGTTTAGTGACCAAATATATCTTGGCTGACCTGCTAAATTTCAGATAAGTGGAAAATTGTGCAAATTAAATTTTTGTCCAAACTATTCCTTTAAAGAAATCGCTCCAATGTACACCCACTTCACTTCCACTGGAAAACATGTTTATCCTCTTTGCTCCACATGGTCTTAACTTTTCCAACAGCTTAGCTGAACTTGGCATGCACTCTCTTTCATGCCAAACAATATTTTCTCAGTTAAGTGGATCTTACATTTCCAATGATCTGGACTCATCTTGCACTTTTGACTGGTTCCACCATGCAACTTTTTACAGAGTGCGAGACTTCCTGTGGCTGCCTGCCCTATCAGACACGGTTCTGGCCATCACATGGCAGCTCATTATCAGCCCATTAATCTGAGTAGATCTCCATAAACTCCTCTATCGTCCAGGCCAGTTGTGCTAACTCTAGTGAGGATGGTCATTAAAAAGGGAGGAAAAGAGTGGGAAAGAGGACAGAAAGGGGAGGATGTGAAGGTGGGAGAAACAGAAACATGTGGAAACTTGTTCCGTATTAAAGCATTTTGACGACGCTTTTCTTTTCTCCTTCGTGTTACTATTTGGTGTCTCCAAATTTCTTCCATCTAGCATTCACATCCTTTTTAATCATTCCACTGGTGATGTGATTCGCTCCAAGAGTTTTCTTATAGCTTCCATTAGGTTTCTAGACACTTACTGTCTTGCAGTGGCTAATGCTCCATGCTAATCCATGAACATAGCGGCTACACGCCGCTACTCCTGAGAGCCAGAGGACTATCGATTGTCCCTCAGGACTTGCTTCCTCACACTCCCTGACACTGAGTATATTAATATTGACCGCCCACGTTCCATCTGGTGCTAGCGTGGGTGACTGAAAAACCTTGGGAGCCAATTTTCCCTGCTCTAAAGGATTTTTTAATGGAGGGAGTGCAACTCACAAGGGCTATACTGTATAACTATGGAGGAAGTAAATTGAATAGCTGCATTGTGGCAGCTCCTGGTTAGGCATTGTTTCTAAATTATGACTTTTGAAGTGGAGATGCTTCGGGGAAAAAGTAAACTCTAAAACACTTCAGAGTCTTAACAGAGAATTTCCTTATCAGAGAATTTTCCTAAAAGAACTCCTTTAGGAGTTCTTAATTATATTTCCCTAAATTAGAGAATGTTCCCAGAGGAACAACTTTAGGAACTCTTAATTATCCAACAAGCCCTTGAGGAACATTTCTTTCCTAATAATGTACAGTATAAACAGTCGAGAGCTTTACGTCTCACATATCACCCCATGTTAAAAGTGTAAAGATTTTGTGTGACAAAAAGAGCTTCACTATGAACAGATGTACGTCTTTCAAGGAAGCTTATAGATGTACATTCATATACTGTAAAAGCAATTTTTTACCAGCTTCAATCCTCCTCTCACCCATGATGTGGTCTTAAGGTCAGCATCTGGCCTGTGAGGTGATTTTATCGACCCCAAATATTTTAAAATAACATGCTTTTATTTATCAAACTCGGTTATCCAAAGTGATGCAAAGAAGACAGAAGCGTAAAGTTGAGCAGTTGAATATTAAGCATCTCACTCAAGGGATCAGTAGCAGCTTTTTGGAAGTGCTGGGATTTTTCCTGGGACTAACACAGAACCACTAAGCTTTTTGGATTCTTTGGCTAGTTAAGGTTTTAAAGGGTTTTTTCCCACTAAAACAGCTGAACCTATAACCCAGTCTGAGAGAGAAACCCTCTGTTTTATGGTTCTACATAGAACATTTAAGGCTTTTTACAGAGAGGGGAAAACTGGAGAACCCTTAAAGGTTATAGATTTAGATTTTTTATGGAAAAATAGTTAACTCTTAAATCCTAAAGAGTTTGTCAGGTGTGTCATTATTAAAGCTTCTGTGTAAAACCCTTAACAGAGTATTTCTCTATCAAAAGATGTTCCTAGAGAATATCCTTTAGGAATATGTAATTATCCAACCAATCCTTTAGGAATATTTGTTTCCTAATTGTGTACAGTATTAACAATACTCTTTTTTCATAGACTATAATACTGCTATGTTGAAAATTACAATGACAATTGGAAAATAATCTGGTTGACATTTTATACAACAAAGCAGCTCTTTTATCTGATATTGTTCATCTTGTGTAAACTCACAGCTCATGTAATTTTAAAGGGACAAATAGCATTAATGCAGTATGCTTTTAGGGAAAATAAGAGTTCATTGAGGGGTTTTCAGGTGCTTAATGGTTCCAGTTTCTGAAAGGGTCTTAGTCAGAATCTTTTCTGAAAGTGAAACTCTCTGTTGAAGGATTCTGCGTAGGTTGCACCAGATG